ACTTCGAGAAGCGCATGTCGCGCACGAGCCCGGGATCAAAATCACTTGTTCCGTGGCTCCCCTTCGATTGACAATCGGCGGGAGGAAATCGTCGACAGTGGTGTCTTTATTCATGCGCCGCGACGCCGCCGCCGCGACGAATAGGAGGAAGTTAAGTGGACGGGCAATTTCTCTGCGACAACAAATAGTAACGCGGATGGGAAAGGGCGGTGGCCACATGACGCGATTCCCACGTATCTCACTGCAAGCCACGAGTCTTGGAGAGAGTCCTACGTTTGCGCATCCCTTCTTGTCTCCTCGACAAACTTTTCGCCCGAAGCTATCGTTCTTTCGCCGATCAGGGCGCGATCCGTACCTACGCCTGCACGATTGCATAACAAAATAAACATCGACGCGCGACTAAAATTAATGTCGTGTCGAGCGACACGGAATAGCCCTTTCCGTCCACGCGTTGTCGTTCACGAACACCACGTGAATTAATTAGTGACAAGTCTTCTAAAATCTGATTATGTAGCTCCAAAATCTAATTATCACCATACGCGAGAAATGGAATATGAACGAGAGATAAACCCTCATGTACGACTAGGAAAATTACACCTAAATTCTAAAGCGTCCTATATCGAAGTGTAAAATGCAAGTAAAGTTTCACTTTATGGCGATTGACAGAGAGGAAAGTTTAAACTTTCTTTTACCTACAATTTAGAGCCTCATTATTATTAATCGTATATACAGATCATGCAACTGTCTAAAATTTTTTTTCGGGATACAAATAACGAGGCGCCACGTCAGATAAATACATCAATAAGTGGAATGTACGATTTCGCGAAATTATCCGTGAGAAACAAGAGCAAGAGCAAATGGAAAGTGAATCTCGGCCTTGTAACTGTGATTAATAAACGAGACGTTTGTTTTACAAGCGGATACTACTAATAAAAGTATTCAACGGCACGAGTCGTCGCGCTCTGTTCTCTTCGTCCACATCCTTTGTTTCTATTTCCATCTATGGAACCACGCCAGCCTCCAACCCCGCTGAACCTCGCGCGGTGTTCTCGCGTCGTTGTCCCTCTCGCGTTCGGCGGCTTTTCGTGTAGCGTGGATACACGCCTACAACGGATAGAGGCAGCCGCGCTGGACGTAGGTACGTAGGGACCTAACGGACAGATCCGTGTTTCCATGGAAACCCACCTATCTGCGTCGGTTGGACCTATACTGCCTGCTGCCACCCTGATAAGCGGCTTACTCTCATGGTTCTCTCTACTCTTCTTCGTCGGAGCATCCCCCGACCCCTCTCCAACCACTCCATCTCCTCGACACTCTGCCCCCGGCACCCCCTCTGTCTCCCGCCACCGAACCCCCTTTCGAGCGGTGGATGAAAGAGGGCGAAACGGAGAAAGACGGACGGGAAAGAGAGGCGAGGTGATGCTGCTTTCCGCCGAATCGTGCCGCTAAAGGAAAGCGACGCGAAAGCATGCTATCTTCGTCGTGCTTTCTCTTTCTCTCTCTCTCTTTCTCTCTCTCTCTCTCTCTCTCTCTCTCTCTCTCTCCCCTTGTTCTATTCTATACTCACGCGCTATCTTTCTCTTTCTCTTGCTCTTGCTTTTTCAGTAGCACACACACACCCTCATCTCCGCCTTCTTTCCGCGATCTCTTTTCGTCTACGCACATTCTGTGGCATACTGGAAAATTTATGCAGTCAATTACCGACCCAGCGACACGACCTTCGAGAATGGAATATCGCGAACACGAAGAGAATTCTGTCTGCGGAAGCGCTGCTTCTTTCTGTTTAGCGCGCCATAGTCGATCCTCCGAGATCGACTTTTCCATTCGCTAGGTGCTTGAGAAATGTCGATTCTCCGCAGAGGGACATTCCAAGCTTCGACCACGAAAGGCATAATGGATGATCGCGATTGCTCTTGTTATCGAAGCTCCCTCGAATCTCGTGCCGATGTCGCGAAAATGTTCCGCAATCCCGAGAAGCGAACAAAACACACTTCCTCAGTTATCCATTACAAGAACAAAGTTCAAAACGTTGCTTATATCTCGTAATAAACGTGTGTATTCATGAATGCATACAACTTTTTATATAACATCTGAATTTTTTATATTCATTCGGAAACTTAAAACTTGCACGGGATGTGCACTCTTGTGCGTGTTTTTCGCCAACTTGCTACGACAGCTATAGTTAAGAAGCCCCGAGATTGCTCGACACACTCATATGGCTTCAGTCGATGCATCGATTTGCATAGCAATCAATAACGGCGAATATGACGTCCATGTGAAATACTTTTACAGTGACGAATAGCAAAGCACTTAACATACTAATAAATCTGTATAATCCACATATGAGCTAATAATGATAGTTTTTAATTCGCACGCAATACAAGGGAAGAAAGGGCCTGCAAATTGAGCAATGCTAGGGGCGTGATAGAACGTAAGGGAGGCACAAGATAAAAGAGAGGGATTTATTTTATGTGTGTACAATAGACTTTAAAAGCTTTTCTTTCTCTGTTGAATGCGCTGTAAATATCAAATTGCTGTGTAATTTAGGTACATTACATTTCCTCCGTTTTAAAATATTTACTTCGAGTACACGTTACATTGGTAGTATAATAAACGAGAAATCAGGCTTGTTAAAATTTAGTATATTTAAGAAAATAGAAAAATTTCTTTCAAAAATACAAATTTGTCATTTCTATATTCATTATGTTAAAAGCAATTTGATAAATAGATACGTATATTCAAATTTTGATATTCAAAATAAAATCAGGGTCGTTAAAATATTAAAATTTAACAAATTCAAATATTAAAAATTAACAAATTTAAGAAAATAAAAAAATTTGTTCTAAAAATAAAAATTTACAATTTTTATATCTATTAAAAACATGTAATAAATATGTATTTTCAAAATTTGATTCAGAATTAATTGTGAATGTTTCGTTATAAACTGATTTCATATAAATGCTCATAACTTACATTACAAATGATTTAAAATTTAATTTATTTATTTATTAATAAAACAATTTATTTCCTGCACATATAAAAATATCCAAAAAATTAAATCAATCTATTAGGAAGCGAAAAAATTACAATTTCCAATGGAGCCCTCTCTTAAGCGCAGAGAGATTATCCGACGGCGTTTGTTGAATGAATACGACGCAAAATCTGTCACACTGTTGTAACGCCGAATCGCACAGATTAAACACTCGTCTTTTATTTCAATGGATTAGCCGGCTAGATCGATCACCATCGGAAATCTCGCTCATCTTTTCTCCGTTTCGCGATATTTCATAGTTCATTAACGCTTTTTTCCGCGAGAAACATTTTCAGAACCGTATTAAACACGATACGGCTAATAAACATGGATACCAAGAACTGTACCGCTGTCGCCACCTCACGATTACGTGAAAACTTTTCCGCATGCACATCAGTATCGAACCGTGCGAATCCCTTGCTATTACGACTCGAATACATACATTCGGTCTCATTATTGCCAATAACTGAGCCTACCGTTATTCTCGAGCAGGAACGTGCAGACAATTCTATTTCTTTTTTCAAGTAAAATATTTCCCGCAAGCACGATATAGTATTTAAATTAATTACTACGAATGACTTGTTAAAAATTCAATTCGCTTTATTTAATCTTAACTCCGATTCGATAACTTTAATTAACAATTCTGTAAGTATTATATCTATGATTTATGATTATTCCGATATCAATCTCAATTTTATATATGTTAATGTTGCATGCCGTATAACCCATTGACCGTCATAAAATGTCATGCACAGACTTTTACGTATCAATTTCAGTGAGTTCAATTTTTGATGCCAGAAAATATGGATACCAGAAAATATATACAGTGAGAGCAAAAAGTATTCGTATCAAGAAATTTTTTATAAAAAAAAGTCTTATTTGTAAAAAATAAACATTAATTAACAATTTTATACAATAAATATATTCTGTTTTAACATAAGCAAACGAGCTTTGCATATATTTCTGATTTTAGAAACTAAATTTCTCGACTGTACAAATACTTTTTGAGCATTCAAACAATAGAATTTTTAATTTTCCTTTATATTTTAGATGATATATTTTCTATAATTAATTCATATCTTTTTGATATATACAATTTTAAGAAACATATACTATTTTATTCTTTATAAATAAATTATTAATTACCCAGCAAGAAACGATCGTCGAATTGATGTTGAAATCATCGTATCGATATCGATTTGACATCAATTCGATGACTCATTTCTCGCTGGATAATATTTACTTTTTAAAAATAAAGTTTTTTTTTAAATATTTTCCCTGTACGAATACTTTTTGCGCTCACTGTATCTTACTTTTCAAATCATCGTAAAGAAACACAGATTTTTATCGTTGACTTCAATGTTACCGCATAAATTTTAACTAAAGTTTAATATTTTGTTCACAATTATTACCGTTTAATAAATAAGTTTTTAATGATTATGGTAAAAGTTTGCAGTTAATCTTATGAAAAAAAAAAATAGATTTATGATTTTTAATTATGATTAGATTTGTGTGTCTATAAAAGCTAAAGTCCACCAATGTAAGATTAACTTCTCGGTTTAACTTGGTTTACTGTTTATTTTTTTCTAATTCTTAGAAAAATTACTATTTATCTTCTTCTCTAATTCTTAGAATTAAAAAAAAAATAAAGAGAAAATTGAACCAAGATTAGAGTTATTCTTACATTAGTAGAATCGAGTTTTATGTCCGTTTCTACCAATTGGTTTCATTTATTTTTTATTCTTTTCCTAGTTGTAAAAATTAAAAAAAAAAGAATAAAAAATAAGTCAAGTCGCGATTAAAGTTAATCTACATTGGTAAAAATGGACATTAGACATAATCGATTATAATCATAATTAAAAATTATAAATCTATTTATTTTCGATAAGACTAACTGTTAACTTTGATGGAACTGAGTTCTAAGCAGCGAAATTTGAACTCGTCTTGAAACAAAAAATAAAAGTTTTACCTTGTGGGAATGCGGCTGCCAATCCATGCTCGAGCGCATGATGCGTATGAGCGTGCGGGGTGAGGGCGAAGTGCGACGGCAAACCGGGATGCGCACCGGGATGCGGATGTGAGTGAGGATGTGGATGGGTGCCGACTCCCATCGGATGACCGTGTGGATGATATTGATGAGGATTTCCGGTCGAGGCGCAGGTTGCGCCCGCCGCTTTCAGGTAACCCGCCATATTCAGGCAGCCCGCGATGCGAGAAACCAATTCACCCGCCACCGCGCCGTTGTTATCACGCTCCCTTATCGCGTGACTCCCTTCGTTCTGGTCGCTCGGCCACCAGCTGTTCTCTACCCGATGAACAGCGTTGTTCGCATGTAATGGCTGCCTTGCGCTGTCCTCCGATAGGAAGTCTTGGCGTGAAGTCTTGCGCTCTCCTCCGATAGGAGGTTTTAGCGTGAAGTCTTGCGGTTGTACACTGCCGTAATGATAATCTTTCTGGATCTGTAAAAGAATCGACGTTTAGTAAAATTTCACGTGATTGTTGGCTTTTGCAATTTCAATTTTGTTAACCGAAGTGGTAATTAATTGAACTGATTTGTCATGAAACTCGCAGATAAAGAGCTCTAACAATCTTCCTTAACGCTTGGGAATAAAAAAATAAAAGTAATAAAGTTCAACGTCTCAGATTTGAAAATTTTCTAAGTTTCCACGGATTTAAATTCTATCTAGACGGAAATTCATTAAAAATTATAAAACTCCAAATCTTCAAACTCTGAGGAAAATTTTAATTTTCGAAATATATGGAACAAAAGTAGAAAGACTATTGAGTTGGTTTTTCATTTGTCGTATTTTCATTAATAACACAAATCGTGTTTCCCTTAATACACATAATGATTTTTCTGTACTTTACTGCACACACAATGGATCATTTTTGTCCAAGTTAATTTTCATCACGTTTACAAGTAAACAATTATTATAAGTAATTTTTACGTTCTACTTTAATATCTTTAGAAAATATATGTAAAGAGTGTTATTAAAAAAAAAGATATCATTATTTAATCAGATGCTATTAGTATTTGAAAGAAAAAAATGTGCAGGACACGAGTGACCTAATCGTGTGTACTAAGGATTAATTCAAAAGTACAAAAAAGAGACCTTAATCCATGTTCTTTTCTTAATCCTCTAGGAATAAGTGTTGCAAATTTGTTCACTTTAAAATTAAATTCAGGACAAATGCAGAGAAAAATTTAAGATCTGCGCAAATTATACTTAAAAACTGATGTTGAAAATGTATGTAACAATGACCACTAAAATACAGTATATTACTATCTACTTTTATTCGTGAGAAAGGCTACACACACACACACACACACACACACACACACACACACACACACACACAGAGTAAAAAATAAACTATAAATTTTAATTAAATAATAATAATTTAAAAAAAAGACATATAGTAGATTTTCTGAGTCATACAAAAATGTTAAAATTAACACAAAAATGTTAATTTTAACATTTTTACATGCTTAGAAAATTCACTATACATCTTTAAGTTAAAATTTTTATTTTTTTACAGTAAAAGGTCAAGAACTTTACTTCTTTTTCAAGTTTTGGAAAGTTATATAATATTAATTTTTATAAAAATATACTACTATCTTACACATGACTTGTATAGCTCCTTTTCATCCTTGTAGTACGGTAACATCACAATATTAGTTAATGTAATTTAATTAATGTTATATCTTTGGCAAAAATTTTGGAAGCAGTGGGTCGATTCGGTGATATGTTCGAAAATAATTTTTCGAAAAATTTCGAAATATATGTTGTGCCAATTGTTGAACAAAGATTTTTCTAAAACAAAGCAGAAAAGTTATAGATATTATGCAAATAAATTAATGAACTATGAATGAACAGTGAATACAACTTGTTAAAAATAAGTATTTTAGAGATTCGTACACGCCAATTCGTTCACGATACAAAAAGGAAAATTTTGAATAATTTTTTTCGTTATTTATTTGCTTTGTTTATATTTTTAGAGATACATACTGTAACAAAAGAGGCTTGCCGCTCAGTACAATTAACTCACAATCTGTAGATCCATGTTCAATCCCATCTAGACGATTTTTCGCGTTTTAGGAGCCGAAAATTACTTTATCCGGTGATTAAGAGATCTTTGATCATCAGTTCCATTCCGATCCGGCGTTTAATATGCGTTCAACTGTAATATCAGTGGATATATAGAACTGTAGGTCCTATATGTATAATATTGATGTTTTTCACGTATTTATTTCGAATAATTCTTGAAATTTTGTAAAGTAATTTTGCATCAATATTGTAAGAGTTGCAATTGTCTTATGAAACATCTATGACATGAATTACGCTAATCCTAATCGCAGGAGGGGAGTACCAGAAATAATCCAATTTTTTTTTAATCTATAGGAACGTATTTTAATATCTCAATCTAAAATGAAGAAGATAAAATAAATTTTTTTTAAATGGCGATTTTTGAAAATTTTGTAAAATTAAAATTTGGAATTTTCCATAAATTTTTATTGATCATCTGCGAAAAAAATATTGCACATATCAGTTTAATTTTGGAGATATAACTACATTTCTAGAGATAAAAAAAATTGATTGTCTATACTTCAGATGACTAGGACCGGTGCAATTCATATCGCACGCATTTTATAACATGGCATACGGTATGCAACTTTTATAATAGCTGTATGTCCGATATTTATTGTGTATGTGCGTAAAATCTGTAGTGCATGTAATATATGCTAGAAAATATCGAAACACAACCAATATTGACGCACATCAATTCAAAAAAGTTGAAGAATTACTTGAAGTACAAATAAAAACGTAAAAAAATCTCGATACTTTTTTTATTTTAATTCCTAAAAATATCGATTAGAATATCTCTTAACTATTCATTTATCCAAAACGTATCATTTACTAAAAGGAAACATTTTATGTCCATTTATTACGCAACGCTGTGGTCTACATTGTGAATTTGATGATGTATGATATATTAATATGACAAAGCGTTGACATGAGGAAACTATTTTTTTTTTCGCAGCTGTTCGACTTGTCAGATCTTGTCACTAATTTCCTTTTTCCCTAATGTCTAAAATAGTATTCTATGTATCTTCGTTTGGATTACAAGGAGATAAAATTAATTAGTAGATAAAACGATTTAGAGATAAGAAAGAAAATAAAGGACTATAACTTCAGGTAGATCGATTCTTATCGGTCAACGTTAGCATCAGTGTTAACGAAATAATTTCGAACAAGTTGTCGTTTAAAGAAAATGAAATCTCAAATACAGTTGTCGATGAATCGTGCCAACATTACTTTGACAAAATTACAATTAATATTTGTTAATAAATTCTCGTATAATATTATTTGAGTTTGAGTAAAAAGTCATCGCGTATTTTTTAGCTCAAAGTTGTATATACAATATCTTCGTCAATAATGAATGAAATTCAAATTTAAAAAAAGGGTTTTAAAGCTTGAAATCTCTACTTTTAAAAGCTTATCACATTTTTTAAGTTTATATGAGTTTGATAATTTTTACATACCAAAAACTACGAGCTGAAAAAGACGAAAAATTTTCTTCTCACTTTGTGGATTTGTAACGTGTCCAAAACGAATTTGAGAAAATTTTCGATTACCTATCGTGAAAGCTTGATACTTTCCCTACAAAATCGTTTTTTTTTAATATTCCTACGACTTTTGATTACTGAGTTATCGCGGATTAAATAAAAGAATTATTTTGACTTTAATTGCTCATAACTCCATTAAAAATTGTCGTATCGTATAATTTAAAAAAGAGATTTTTAAAGCTGAAACTTTACTCTATCAAGATATATTTATATTGTTAGTAAGAAAGTAATTGCGGTTTTTACTGATAGATGTCTTTTAAAAAAACGCGATGACTTTTTATTTAACCTAATATTTAACATTTATCACTATATTATGCACATCACTGTGATCCTCACTCAGACACTGTTCTGCAGTTACTGACTGATTTATTCCTTCACGCCTTTGGAACACATTCCAAATCTATAATTCTCTTTATTCCGCTGTCTCTCAACTGTCATCTTTTTCTACCTGATACCAATAGAAGACAGGTTTCTGTTTTCCTAAAGAAGAAAACTAACCGGCGGTGGGGAGCGTATAAATGGCTAGTTTTGTCCAGATTCGGAACACAAATTGAAACATCATGACGATTCAGAATCTGAACTACAAAAAAGCTTATTAAATAACTTAATCATTAGGTTATAACCTTTACTTGAAACAAAGATGAGTGACATATGTATAAGTAATTATTTTGCAATAATTGTTAATATCACGGTTCAACATACATAAAAGTAAAGCGACTGTTGACTCGATTGATTCGATCATCTCTTTACATTACGTGAAAC